CAGAGACGCTGATGGTCAGAGACGCTGATGGTCAGAGACGCTGATAGTCAGAGACAATGATAGTGCTGATAGTCAGAGACGCTGATGGTCAGAGACGCTGATGGTCAGAGACGCTGATGGTCAGAGACGCTGATGGTCAGAGACGCTGATGGTCATAGACGCTGATAGTCAGAGACACTGATGGTCAGAGACGCTGATGGTCAGAGACGCTGATAGTCAGAGACGCTGCTAGTCAGAGACAATGATGGTCAGAGACGCTGATGGTCAGAGACGCTGATGGTCAGAGACAATGATGGTCAGAGACGCTGATGGTCAGAGACGCTGATAGTCAGAGACAATGATAGTGCTGATAGTCAGAGACGCTGATGGTCAGAGACGCTGATGGTCAGAGACGCTGATAGTCAGAGACAATGATAGTGCTGATAGTCAGAGACGCTGATGGTCAGAGACGCTGATGGTCAGAGACGCTGATGGTCAGAGACGCTGATGGTCATAGACGCTGATAGTCAGAGACACTGATGGTCAGAGACGCTGATGGTCAGAGATGCTGATGGTCAGAGACGCTGATGGTCAGAGACGCTGATGGTCAGAGACGCTGATGGTCAGAGACGCTGATGGTCAGAGACGCTGATAGTCAGAGACGCTGATAGTCAGAGACGCTGATGGTCAGAGACGCTGATGGTCAGAGACGCTGATGGTCAGAGACGCTGATAGTCAGAGACAATGATAGTGCTGATAGTCAGAGACGCTGATGGTCAGAGACGCTGATAGTCAGAGACGCTGATGGTCAGAGACGCTGATGGTCAGAGACGCTGATAGTCAGAGACAATGATAGTGCTGATAGTCAGAGACGCTGATGGTCAGAGACGCTGATAGTCAGAGACACTGATGGTCAGAGACGCTGATGGTCAGAGATGCTGATGGTCAGAGACGCTGATGGTCAGAGACGCTGATGGTCAGAGACGTTGATAGTCAGAGACGCTGATAGTCAGAGACAATGATAGTGCTGATAGTCAGAGTCGCTGATAGTCAGAGACAATGATAGTGTTGATAGTCAGAGACAATGATAGTGTTGATAGTCAGAGACAATGATAGTCAGAGACGCTGATGGTCAGAGACGCTGATAGTCAGAGACGCTGATAGTGCTGATAGTCAGAGACAATGATAGTCAGAGACGCTGATAGTCAGAGACGTTGATAGTCAGAGACAATGATAGTGCTGATAGTCAGAGTCGCTGATGGTCAGAGACGCTGATGGTCAGAGACGCTGATAGTCAGAGACGTTGATAGTCAGAGACGCTGATGGTCAGAGATGCTGATAGTGCTGATAGTCAGAGTCGCTGATAGTCAGAGACACTGATAGTCAGAGACAATGATAGTCAGAGACGCTGATGGTCAGAGACGCTGATAGTCAGAGACGCTGATAGTGCTGATAGTCAGAGACAATGATAGTCAGAGACAATGATAGTCAGAGACGCTGATGGTCAGAGACGCTGATGGTCAGAGACGCTGATGGTCAGAGATGCTGATAGTGCTGATAGTCAGAGTCAATGATAGTCAGAGACGCTGATAGTCAGAGACAATGATAGTCAGAGACGCTGATAGTCAGAGACGCTGATAGTCAGAGATGCTGATGGTCAGAATCACTGATAGTGCTGATAGACAGAGACGCTGATAGTCAGAGATGCTGATGGTCAGAATCACTGATAGTGCTGATAGACAGAGACAATGATAGTCAGAGACACTGATGGTCAGAGACGCTGATAGTCAGAGACGCTGATAGTCAGAGATGCTTATAGTCAGAGACACTGATAGTCAGAGACAATGATAGTCAGAGACACTGATGGTCAGAGACGCTGATAGTCAGAGACACTGATAGTCAGAGATGCTGATAGTCAGAGATGCTTATAGTCAGAGACACTGATAGTCAGAGACGCTGATAGTCAGAGACACTGATAGTCAGAGACGCTGATAGTCAGAGACGCTGATAGTCAGAGATGCTTATAGTCAGAGACGCTGATAGTCAGAGATGCTTATAGTCAGAGACACTGATAGTCAGAGACGCTGATAGTCAGAGATGCTTATAGTCAGAGATGCTGATAGTCAGAGATGCTTATAGTCAGAGATGCTGATAGTCAGAGATGCTGATAGTCAGAGATGCTGATAGTCAGAGATGCTGATAGTCAGAGATGCTGATAGTCAGAGACGCTGATAGTCAGAGACGCTGATAGTCAGAGATGCTTATAGTCAGAGACGCTGATAGTCAGAGACTGGGTTAGGGGAGGGTTTGGCCGGCCGGGATGTCCTTGTTCCATCGCGCTCTAGCGACTCCTTGTGGCGGGCCGGGTGCATGCAAGCTGACTTCGGTCGACATCTGTACGGCGTTTCCTCTGAATCACTGGTGCGGCTGGCTTCTGGGTTAAGCGAGCAGTGTTTCCAGAAGCTTGGCGGGGTCGTGTTTCGGAGGACGCATGGCTCTCGACCTTTGCCTCTCCTGAGTC